ATCTGAAGTCCTTTCACCAGAAGAATTCTTAATCATAAAATGAAGAAGAAAAGATTAGCAATAACCTTCATATACATGTCTTCAGTCTTTTTAACTATTTGCTACATTTATTTTGAACCATATTTTTATTTTTATTTTGGTGGTGGTGGTGGGTACTAGAGGCAGTCAACCACTGAGACACATCCCCAGGCCTATTTTGTATTTTATTTAGAGACAGGGTCTCACTGAGTTGCTTAGCGCCTCACTGTTATGAAGCTGGTTTTGAACTTGCAATTCTCCTGCCTCAGCCTCACGAGCTGCTGGGATTACAGGCACGCACCACTACACCAGGCTGAACCGTATTTTTAAATACCAGACATTAAAGCTTGAACCAGGCAGAATTGGAGCAAAAGACTCAATGAGAGAAGGGGAAGAAATGAGGAAGGCGAGCATGAGTTGGGGCACAGCAGGGGATGAAACCCTTCCCGTCCTGCTCCTGATCTCACAAGGCTAACACCCATTCCCTCCCACAAGCCGGCCATCATCACTCCCATCAACCCGCTTCTCCAACAAAATGTAAGAGATAATTTTTTTCATTTCCCTGTCCTTTTTCCTCAGTGACAGATAGATATTTCAGGAACAAATAGGTAGATATGCTTGAGAAAAAATCCATTTCCCACTCCAAAATGAATTTTAAATGGAAAAGGACTAAGGGCATCCACTGTTCATTTTATATTTGCTATGTGCTTAAGTTTTTGCTGTGTCAACATGCAGGACTTTTCCAAGAAGGTGTTCCCTGCCTCTTAGGGAAGGCGGGGGCAAGTGGTTCCTCTCTCTAGAAGGTACCCTGAAGCTGGCTCCTTCTCCAGGCAGGGTCTGGAGCCACTGCCACGGATGCTGGACCACGCCCACTGCCCAAGAGCAGCACAAGACAGTGGACACAGTCTCCCGAGATTGGAGCTCGTAAAGGCAGGATGACATCAGCCTCTGAGCTCCATATGACAGAGGCACAGACTTATCTCTCTCTCTCTCAGATTTCCCTTTGCTGAGCATTTTTTTTTTTTTTTGGACATTTAGGAGCAGTGAAATTTGCATTCATAAAACTGTATTTTCTTTCTGAAAAACAATAAAAAATGTGATCTCTTTATAGCAGCTGCTTAAATCTTTAACCCTGGCTTCTCACCCAAGATGACATAACACATATGAATTGTTTAGGAACAAACATCAAGAGTAATGATTTCTAATGGTGAAGTGATAGATCTTCTCTATCCTATGCTCCTACTGGACTGGTAAGCTACACTGGCTTAGGAAATACTATACTGGGAAGAGTTCTATTTTCTTTTATATTTTCTTTTCTCTATCTATTCCTGAATCTATAGTTAACAGAAACAAGCCCCAAATATCAACTTATCTTAAATTTATCCAATGATGGAGGAGTCTGAGTACTGTAAAAATCATGTCAATGTCATTGTCTAGGATATTCCTTAAAAACAGCCTTCTCTCAAAGAAAAGAAAAGGCAACTATAACTGTCTAAATGAAGATTCAAGATTGGGCTAAGAGACTAACTCTGTCCAAGCCACTTGCCACTCAATATTTAAATTCTGTCTTATTCTGTTTTCTGTTTTTACAGAAAAGAATTGATTCTGGGTACTTTATTTAAAAAGGAAGTGGGGGTTTTTTTAGGTCAGAGTTTTGGAGACTGCCAGTCCAGGACAGGCCAGCCCATCTGTTCAGCTGTGGTCAGGGCCTCCTGGCAGTGATACTACAAAGGCAGGAGTGTGTATGGGAGAGATCATGTGGCAAAACGAGAAGCCACAGAGATTTGTGGACCAGGATCAGTCTTTTAACAACAATCTTCTCAAAGGAACTAACCAGGTCCCCCCACCACATCAATCCCTTCCCACCAGACCCCGTCTCTGAACGGCCCCCTTATCGCTCCTCCTCACCACACTGAGGACCAAGCACAGCAGCTCTGGGGGACAAGTCAATCCGGACCACAGCAAGGCCTTAGTGGAGGGAAATGGAAAGGAAGGAACTGGGGAGAGGAAGAAAGCAATTGGCCTTTTAAGGCAAGAGGGATGCTGGCCAAGTAGAGGCCACCCAGCAGGTGGCTTGACTATATTTGGGTCAAAACTTTCAGGTCCTTGGAAGGCAGAGATTCTATAAATAATAATAATCGTTGAAGATTGACTTAAGAGTCTAGTCTCTATGGACAATGCACCTCGGAATTCCTGGACTTCTCCCGGGCTGTGCCAGACCATGTCAGCTGCTCTTCCTGGCCATGATGCTTTCCCTTAAACCCACTGAGGCAGTCTTCTCCATGCCTGGCCCAATATCACCTGATCCTCGAGGTCATTTTTGCCTACACCTGGCTGAGTTCGTGACTCCAGTGGCAGTTTTCCTCCTGTGTTACCCTAACTGTGGCGTCAGCCTGAGAGTAGGACACCACCTTAGGGCTGACTGTATGGATGGCCCTTTCTTCCACTAGGCACGAGTTTCTAAAGTGCAGGAGCACTTTAGACCACTTGTTGACCGCTTGTCTCCTGCCTGGTTCCCCAAGGCACACACTAAGTTTTCAGCAAATGCTTACAAGATAAAACTACTGTAAGCAAAAGCAGCCTAGGAAGGATTTTTTTTAAAAAAAAATGTGAATAAAGATCTAGGAGTTTCTAGAAAAAGCAAGAATGTAAATAAACCCATACTAAAACCTAAAATCTTCTATCATGATGTAGGCATTTGCACCCATTTGGGTATGTTGTCAACATTATTTCTCAATAAATGGAAAAACAAATTCCTTGAAACTTTACATCCACTCACACTTTGATAACTTTATTTTGGCCTCCTCCAGGGCTGCTTTCTTCCTCTCCCAGTCAAACCTGATCATCAATGTGAGATGATTCATAAACACATTCAAACAAGAGAGGAGCCCCAGGCATGGTGATGCACACCAGTGATCCCAGTGGCTCGGGAGGCTGAGGCAGGAGGATCCAGGTTCAAAGCCAGCCTCAGCAACTGAGAGAGCCCCTATGCAACTCATCAAGACTCTGTCTCTAATAAAATATCAAAATAGGTCTGTGGATGTAGCTCAGTGGGTAAGCACCCTGGGTTCAATCCCCTGTACCCAAACACACAACAAGGACAAAAAACAAAGACAAATAAGACAGGCGAAATCATACTGCTTTTTGTAGGAGGATGGAAGTTTAATGGATTAAGGGAGAAGTTATCACTGATTTTGATGAGTTTTGGTTTGTCACTCGCCTGATAAACCCAGAGACATGGGACATCACAAGCCCTGGTTGCATCTTGGCTAAGGAAACCTTGCTTTGGCTACAACAAACTCTTTTCAAACCAAATGCTCTCTTCTCGTGCTTCCTGTGTTACTACCACTTCTAGCCAGCAGCAAAAGCCAAAGCTCTGAGTGAGCAGAGAAGGATGGAGAGTCTCCTGAGTCTGACCTACCTTTGTTCTCACCTCACCCTCAGCCAAGGGCTTACAAAGGGGGCCCTTGTCATGCACCAGTCTAGCTTCTTCAGCTACTTTTTCATGACAGTGCTACACGTGTATGCTCTTAATGGCAGCACCCCAAGCCTTGAGTCAGTCATCAAGAAGATATAATCATGCTCCTATAGTACTCAAATTTCAACTTATAGAGCTAACTAGCTCTTTACTCTTCTGCCATTGAGTCTGAGACACATAGACGTCCTTAGGAACCATGACAGGCTTGGTAAGTCAGGGGCAACAGGGAGGGAAAAACTAATCATAATAAGTGGAAATAACTGATCTAGAAAGATCAGGCTGAAAGGTGGGGATGCCTGCAGCTTGAGCTTTGGAAGAGTTACGTTTCTCCTGCTGAGGCAAGAGGTTTCTGAAGGGTAACAATTAAAGAAGTCATAAAATTAATGCCACAATGGAGGTATTTTGGAAAACTGTAAATTTGGCTTACATTAGAGATTACCCATGTCAAAAATTCATGAATTTGGGACCTGGAAGAAAAGCAAAATTGTCAGAGGGTCCCCACTTCTGTGAATGCATGGAGATACGCATGGATCCTGTCTCTTTATCTCACATTCTGCATACACATTCACACAGAGGCCCCTCTCAAGACTAGGCTGAGAGTGTTATTATGAATATTCATGACATGACGATTATTAATGTCACTGAGGTGATTTCATTCCTGCTCGGCAGAGACAAGTTTTTATACCTAGAAACCAAATAAGTGTTAAGAGAAATGGCAGCTTTGCACCAGCCCAGCGAAAGCAACTCTGTACATTTTAGTCTTGAAATACAGATTATTTGACTAGGTGCTTTTAATCACCCCCTCCTTGCCCCCATCCCATGATTAACCTCATCCTGGGGAGATTTCCAGCTTTGACACAAAATGCAACATCCTTGGGAGCTCAGGTTCCAGAGTTTGTAACTGTATCTTGATTATTACTTTCTTTCGTAGGAGTCAAAATTAAACAAGGCATAAAGAGGCTCTAAGAAGTCTCAGTAGATTTCTGGGGGATGATTTTGTAAAAATGCTTTGGGAGAGAATTACCACATATTTACAACTTCTATTATTTACAAAAGCATTTAACACAACAGGCCTTATGAAACAGCTCTTTCTAAGAACCACAGACTTGCACAGTCACACAGAGAATTGAAAAACAAAAACAAAACCAGCTACTGGTGATAGTTAAGTAGACCCTTGCACATCTGTTGTCGACTCCCCAAGCAACTGGCCTGTCTGGTTATTCTTTATGCATGATATTACATCAAACGACCCAAAACTATTGTTTTCAGTTAAATGAGTCAGACCCAGGTGTAGGTGCAGGGCAGTGGAAGATGCCTACACCAGTTCAGTGCAGGATTAAAAACTTTTGGTTAGCTTCTTATACTGCACTGCCTCGTCAACACTCATCTTTGCAGAACAATCTGGCCCTTAGGAAGGCAGCAGCGAAAGCTACAAGGAAGAGTGCCTGACCCAGGAGGACCCAGGGAAGATGGCAGGAGCAGGCCCCTGTGCTGCGGGACTGACCTTAGGCACCCAGTGGCATTGCGCAGCACCTGTGATGAATGCAGCTGTATTTTCCGATCGTCCTGAAGAGGTGAATTTTCCCAGCCTGAGTGGGGGATAATCACCGCGTTGGTCAATACTGCCAGGGCGTCCTGGATGATTGGCATTTTGAGTGCATCACACGACGAGAGGTTCCACAGGACTCCTGCAAGAGACACACAAGGAGAGAGTTGGTGGCTAACAGTCGTTCTCATCTCACAGTGTTTTCCTCTCTGGAGTGAAAGGCATCGCCAGGAAGGAGTGAGGCAGCGTGTGGGGGTGTGTCTTAGAGCCTGATCCTAATTCTAGGGCACCCATTGGAACCTTCTAGAAGCGTGCTGTGAAAGACAGGTGAGCAGAACCGGGACATGACTGTCTGTCTCATCATGAAGAACAACTAACTCCAGAGGGCTGGTTGAACTGAGGCTCTTACCCTGCTTCAGTGAACTTCTAATATGATGGACCCAAGCTTCCAACTTGAATCCAAGACCAAAGACGTGTGGAAGTTATTCAGAACAGTCTGCTAGGTCTTTGTTTTACCCAGCACCTCAGCCTGCCTGTGTGGCTGACCTCAGTCACCCAGCTTCTACACACCAGCAGCTGCCATTAAAGGGACACCTGAGACTCCAGCAGGAGACTGATGGCAATTAGCACGTGAAGCAGTTTGAACATGGTGTCACTGTGACAGCTTTGTCAGTTTTTCTCTGGAAGCAAGCTCATGAAGGACCTCTAGAATGTTCTTTCTTAAATGGTGACACAGGGAGCATGGAGGGCCTGCCTGCCGTGGGCAGAGAGGAGAAGTAATTAAGGTGGGCAGGGAAAAGAAAAATTGCAGACATGTGGAACGTTTTAGGTTTTTAGATACATGTTTTCTAAAATGAGACTAATTCTGGAACAGGCCCATGGGCATTGCAGGTTATAACATCATTTGAAAATGCTTTTAAAATAATGGTTCTATTTTTTGCTCAGAATAGTTCACATAAAGGAAAAAGAAACAGTACACTATTCTGTTCCCCTACTGAGCCTTTTGCTCCTGCAGCCTAAACAGGCATCAGCACTGCAGAGATGGGGATCAAACACTGTAGTTGTCTTTAGAAAAATGACTTCCGGCTTTAACAAACTCTCAATCTATTTTAACCAGATGAGATTTTGTTTTACCCACCATCTGATGAATAGAATATATAGAATGAACTTCGTTCTGAATTTCTTATTAGTTCTTTACACATGTGGAACCAACCAGTAATACAAATGTGACTGTTAATCATTAATGAAGCAACATCACAGTGACTATAAAGTTCTATAAAAACATGACTGCAGAGACAAACCCCTTTAACTGTCTTTAGAAGTAACATTTACTGGGAACTTTATTTAAGTGAATACAACAGAGATGAAATGGTTTTGGTGCCTGTGGTCCATGAATCAGTCCCATAAGGCCCGGGGTTACCTGGAGGGCAAATCTGGACTGCCTGTTGGGGTAAATAAAGTATTTTTGTAACACAGCTGTGTCTGTTAATTTGTGTATCTTCTGTTTGCTTTTGTCCTCAGAGGGAGAGTTCATTATTTGTGACAGAGACTGTATGGTCCACAAAGCCCAGTAAATACACTACCCGGCCCTTCACAGAACAGCTGTCCAACCCTCCTCAACCCTCCCCGGGCTCTGTGAGCATGCTTGAACTGCCATCAGTGTCCTTCCGTGAGTGGACAAAGGTGCTCAAGGGTGTAGAGAAGGTGCCCAAAATACTTCATGATTTGGACTACTTTGAAATACCAGGAATATTAGTAGATGCATTTGTCGTTTTGAAAATAGAGCATGAAGCTATTTATTTATCTACTAAATGTTTTACAAACTTTTATCATCAAAATAATAAAAATGATTCTATTCATTCATTTGCAGTCTTGAAAAATATTTTTAGGGTACAGATAATTGATTTCTTTTCTGTTTTTTTAAAAGCACATTACAGAGTAGCTAAAAGCACATTAAAGAGAAGTAAATTAGTAGCTACTATTGTGTTTGAAGGTATCTTTTAAGAATGTCATGTTAAAGCATTTGTGCACGTTCCTTCAATGCAAGGACATGGAAACATAACTTGAAATATTCTCATTCTTAAATCCTGATTCAGAAATACTAAGACATGAAAATTGAGGTTTAGGAATAAATGCTTTAAAATATGGGTGATACGTTCTTTCATAAAATACAATTCCTCCAAAAACTAAATATAAAGGAAAAAAATTGCATTTTAACATGAATGTGTTTAAACCAATCCAAATCAATTCTTATTTTATTTATAGCTTTTAAAAATAAGTACATTATAAAGACACATCAAAATGAGATTCACTGTGGTATATTCATATATGCACATAGGCTAGTTTGGTCAATTTGATTCCTTTGTTCCTCCCACTTCCTGACCCTTCTCCCCCCTCCTCAATCCCCTTCCCTACTCCAATGACCTCTCTCCTGTTTTCATGAGATTCCCTCCTTTCCCCACCTTATTTTGGTCTAGATTTCAGGAGCACTAAAATCAGCATGTCATAGCGATCCTGCCACACGAATGTTTGTAGCAGCGCAGTTCACAATAGGCAAGTTATGGAACCAGCCCAGATGCCCGTCAACAGATGAATGGATACAGAAGATGTGGTACATATAAATGAGGGAGTTACTCAGCCATTAAGAAGAATGAAACGGCATTTCCCAGTAAATGGATGGAACTAGAGAACATCCATCATGTTACATGAAACAAACTTTATGCAGAAAATCAAGGATTAAATATTTTCTTTCAAAGTAATTTTATGATAATTATTTTTAGTTTTCTAATGAAAAATAAGAAGGAGGGAAAATAAAAGAAAGATTAAAGAAAAATTAAAAACTCAATTTCATATTTGACAAGAAGAGGATAAAAAAGACACAATTTGAGGTGTCTTTATCTCCTTTAGGTTTCTCATTAATTGCAGTATAATTCAGACTTAGTTCACAATCATTCCAGGCTGGATTCATCTGTGAGTCACGTTCCAATGAACTGAGTACTTGACCATATCTCTGAACCTTAATGCATGTCTGCAGTCAACCACAGGTGCTTGCTGAGCTTATTACAACAGCAGAGTCTCCATCAGGGAGAAATTTCTCACCTTCATATGAAGAGTGGGCTAAGTAGATATAATATTGCCAAATTCCTTTTGGTGGAATTCAACAGGCACCATTTGAAATTTTGATATCAATCTTAAGAGTAGAAGCAGTAGTCTCTGTGGACAATTAAGATAAAGGTGGATAATGTCACCGGGAGCATGAGGGAGCTCCACATCAATCCTGTAAATACACACACACACACACACACACAAAGCTGGAGGGAGAGGGACTAATAGAAGACATTGGATATAATTAGTCATCCTCTTTGAACAAATGGAAAATGGTGTTTTGCTCAGATTTGTATTCACCCCTCCCAGATTTCTTCCATAGTGGTTTAGGATATGTCTACAAATTTCCTGACATTCCCTTCAAATGATGGAGCCCAATGCTTCTGAGAGGACTGAATTTAGTTACTCATTACTGACCAACAGAAAATGGTGGAAATACTTGGGATTATTTTAAAAGGTACTGTGGATTCCTCCAAGTTCTGTCTCAGAAATTGCCTGTTTTTAGGAGAAGCCAGGTGCATCCACAGGAACCTCAGCAGCCCTATGGAGAGGCCACTGTGGTGACGTCAGCAGCCACACAAGGGCATGATTTTGTAGTGGGCCCTCTAGCCCCTTCTGAACCTTCAGACAAATGACTTCAACCTCATGAGACCCTGAGCCAGAACTACCCAAACTGGCTGCCCCTGGACTCCTGTTCTGTTCACTTCCCTCTCTTCCTTTTCCATTCCCTCTGTCTGGTGGGTTCATCCCCCCGCCTTTTAGCTTTGAGCATCTTTTTCAAGTTTCAACTCCTCTCTCCTATTCCTAAGTTCCATTGTGAGAACATAAAAGATACAGGAAGAAGGATCCTGCTGAAATTTGTAACTAAATTTTAAATGCATTTTAATTTAAATGATAAATATCTAGCTTTTAAAACCCGTACCATTCATCATGTGCAGGACTTATTAAAAGGCTAAGCAGTTCTTTTAGTTTGGAATGTCTGCCTTAGTTTCCTATTAGTGCTTTGACAAATTAACACATGGTGGCTGAAAGGACACAGCTAGTTATTTCCAGCCTGGAGTCTTGCATGGGCTAGCAGGGTGCACCTCTGGAGGGGCCCGCCTAACCACTCTGCTGGAGGCTGCCTGCTGCCTTGGCTCGAGGTCTGGCATCCGTCTGACCTGGCTTCCATCATCACATCCCCTTCTCTGACTCGGAACTCCTGCCTCCCTCTCATGATCCCTCTTATGCTGCTAGTGAGCCTACCTGGATAACCCAGGATAGTCTCAAGAACCCTAATTGAATCAAGTTCTGCAAAGAGCCCTAATTCAATCACACCATGTAAAGCAGCATCTGCAGGGTCTGGAAATTAGTATGTGGACATCTTTGGAGAGCCACCAGTCAGGCTAACATAAGTCTCCCTAAAACTGCTGGTATATTTAGAATGAAATTAAACTTCTTGTGGTAGCTTTTCCCTACGTCTCTAAGTTCATGGTGAACCAGATTCTTTGTTCATTTATTTACCTCTCCATACATATCCAGCACCTGCCATGTGCCAGGTTCTATTAGACACAGAGTGGAGCATCAGTGAACAAAACCCAACTCCCTGGCCTGGGAGCGGGTATGGCAGCAGCTCTCGTCATTATGCTTTAGTCAGAGTGGCCTTTGGTCCTCTCTCCAGCACACATGCTCACTTGTACTACAAGACCCCCAACCTGCTGCTGCTGCATTCTGGATCAGTGGGAGCTACCTTTCTGGCTAAAAATAGAATTTCTGTAGATTCAAGGGATAGAATTCCACTTAAGTATATCTTCATACAGACACTTGGGAGCCAGAACTACCGAAACTGGCTGCTCCTGTCTGGCTCAGTGTCTGGCTTTGATTTTCAGCAGAGCCCTTGTGTCCAGCTCACATTTTTCATTACTTATTGATTTTCTGCTATCAGTTGCTACTCTTTCCCACAGCAAGGTCCTCATCACTAGATGGGAGCAGATGCTGACTGAGTGTACATAACACAGAGAACACACTCAGTGTTCACACAGTAGCTCCAGCATAAGG